AGCACTCCCAAATCCTTCGTATGAAATTGACTATGAAGGAAAGTTTTGAGTGATAGGATGTCTGATGAATCATTACCAGTAATCACAATATCATCAACATATACAACCAGTAAGATAACACCAGACTCAGTTTGTTTATAGAAGACAGAATGGTCCGACTTACTCTTCTTCATTCCAAAGTTCTCAACCACCTGACTGAATTTTCCAAACCATGCTCGTGGACTTTGTTTCAACCCATATAAGGATTTCCTTTCCATTCTCCCCCTGAGCAACAAACCCTGGTGGTTGCTCCATATACACTTCCTCTTGAAGATCACCATGGAGGAAGGCATTTTTAATATCAAGCTGATGTAACGGCCAATGGTGAATAGATGCCAAGGAAATGAATAACCTAACAGAAGTCAATTTAGCAACCGGAGAAAAAGTATCACTATAATCAATTCCATAAGTCTGCGCGTATCCTTTAGCAACAAGGCGAGCTTTCAAACGGGCAATGGATCCATCAGGATGAACTTTAACAGCAAACACCCATTTACAACCGATAGGTTTTTTTCTGCAGGAAGAGACACTAAATCCCAAGTACCATTGTCATCTAAGGCAGTCATTTCCTCCAACATAGCAGCCCGCCAACCAGGATGAGACAAAGCTTCATGAACAGTTTTAGGAACAGATACAGACTCAAGGGATCCAAGAAACGAACAAGTAGGTGAGGACAAATGGTTATATGAGACAAAAGAAGAAACAGGATAAGTACATTTACGCTTACCTTTTCTAAGAGAAATTTGAAGGTCATCACTTATTCCTGGATCCTCGGGCGAAGAAGCTGCTGGTATAGGGCATGAGTCCGTAGGAGGTTGCCGACGAGAATAAACTTGAGTAATGGTGGGAATAGAAGGATCAGGCACATAGAAAGATGTATTGCTAGGAAGCTCTTCAGTGGAAAGAGAGACAATAAAATATACAAGAAAGTCATCATCTTCTTGTGAACTCTCCCCCTGACTGGTACTCAAAGATGATGACAAATGAGTATTTTCAAAGAATGTAACGTCGGGAGAGACAAGATATCTATTGAGATCAGGACAATAACATCGATACCCTTTTTTAACACGAGAATAACCAAGGAAAATGCATTTCAAGGACTTAGGGTCCAATTTGGTGAGCTGAGGGCGAACATCACGAACAAAACAGGTGCAACCAAATATTTTAGGTTTAATAGGAAATAAAAGTTGCATAGGACATAGAGTACGATAAGGTATTTCACCCTTAAGAACTGATGAAGGCATGCGATTAATCAAGAAGCAAGCCGTCGAAATAGCATCGGGCCAAAAATATTTTGGAACATGCATTTGAAACATTAAGGCCCTTGCTGTTTTGAGAAGATGTCTATTTTTTCTTTCTGCAACTCCATTTTAGACGGAGTATCGACACAAGAGGATTGGTGAAGAATACCATATTCACTCAAATAAGAGCCAAGAGCTCCAGAAAAATATTCTTTAGCATTATCACTTCGTAGAACTTTAAGAGAGCCACCAAATTGAGTTTGAATTTCAGCATGAAAGTTACGAAAATGAGAAAGTAACTCAGAACGATGTTTCATTAAATATAACCAAGTTACACGGGAAAAATCATCGACAAAGGTAACAAAGTATCGAAACCCACCTTTGGACTCAATAGGACACGGACCCCAAACATCAGAATGAACTAAGTCAAAAAAGGTAGTAGCTCGTTTATTTACTCTAGGATACAAACTAAGACGATGAAACTTATCAAATTGACATGACTCACAATCTAAAGAATGCAAGCTATGAAATTGAGGACGAAGACTCTTTAACATGGGGAGAGATTGATGACCCAAACGACAATGTTCTTCGAAAGGAGTTGGCACTCGAGTGCAAACAGTGGCTGTAGGTATTTGTGTATCAAACGTGTAGAGGCCATTGGATTCACGACCTTTACCAATAGTCTTCTTCGTCGTAAGATCCTGAAATAGGCAATAACCAGGGAAGAATAAGACACAACAATTAAGATCACGAGTGAGTTTACTAACAGAGATCAAATTAAAAGAAAATTGTGGTAAATTTAAAACAGATGTTAGTGAAAGGGATGTGGAAAGATGAACTGTGCCAGAGCCAAGAACAGGAGAAGTTGTGCCATTTGCTATGGTAACATCAGGCAAAGATGCAGATGGGGAGAAATTAGCAAATAAGTTAGGATTACCTGMCATATGATTTGTCGCACCAGAGTCAATGACCCATTTGATGTTGAGGAAATAAGACATTTACTGGTGTTACCTGACTCAGCGATGGCGGTAATCGGATTAGAGGACGATGCCGTCAATGACTCTTGATACTGTTGGAACTTAGCAAATTCTTCCGCAGGAATTGTAACTAACTTGCCAGCATTATCAGGAGTAGATGCAACATGGGCAGACTGTGTTTTCTGACCTCTATTCAATAGCTTTCTACATTCTCGTTTTGTATGACCAGGCTTATGGCAATAATTGCAAAAAATAATATCTCCTGAATTTGACCTTGGGGCACTAGAACGTTGAGCGTTCGAAGTCGTGGAATTCCCTTGGTAGGTATTACCTCTGTTTGCATTTGTACTACGTCCAACCAAAGCACTATTAGACTGAGATGACAAGACGGGTTGTGACTTCTCAACTCGAAGTACTCGAGTGTATGCCTCCTCTAAAGCTGGAATTTCCGAACCAGAGAGTAATTGGTCTTTGGCCACATCAAATCTAGGTGGAAGACCAAGAAGAAAACTGATAACTGCTAGTTGTTCGCGTTGGGCAAGCTGAACTTTTGCATCATTACTATCTGGGAGTAATGCATTAAACTCTGCGTAAATTCTTTTGTGTTCCATAAAGTAATTTGTAAGAGATTGGTCACCAAACTCAGGTTGGTAGAAGCGCTTGCAGATTTCAAATATTCGATTAACATTTCCTTTTCCAGAATAAAGGAATTCTAAATATTTAAGTAACTCTTTAACATATTCACATTCATTGACCAAGCCAATAATGTCACCCTCGATCGAATTCTTGATCTGCAGAACCAGTAGAGCATCATCCCGTAACCAAGCTTTCTTGCTCTCATCCTTAGGCGGATCCTCAGTTATGTGATCGTCCATATCAATACTTCGCAAAAAAAGACGAACATTGATTTTCCATGAAGAATAGTTTGATCCATTCAACTTGTGTTCTGTGATTTTTGATATCATTGGGATCACCTCAGAAGTTACGATTGATTTCTTCTCAGCCATAACAAGCAAGCGAACTTATTTGAACAAAACGACAGAACCAAATCAAACCACTTGAACCAAACAAAACAGGCGGCGGCGGTGGCGTCGGCGGTGGTGGTGTTGGATAGCAATAAACAAAAAACCCTAAGGCACAAAACCCTAATGGGCGCAAAATCCTAATGGGCATCAAAACCCTAATGGGCAAGAAACCTAAAAAACCTAGAGCTCTGATACCATGTAGAGACTGGATGGAGGAAAAAAGTATCATATGTTTGTAATAAATAGACCATTTTATTCCGAAATAATTTACCGTATGGTTGTGTCAACCATAATGCCTCATGAAAAAATGATGTCTATGAAAGAAATGAATTTGTCTAAAGATTGGATTTTTGTTGTTAAATGATTGGAGCACACTATTATATTGCAAGTTTCTCTCTACGACATAATCAACGTTTTCTTTCCTTCTCTTCTATGCTACAACATCTTCTTGAGTTTATGCTCATTGGTGTTTTAATACTTATCTCTCCTTTGCAAAGTTTCTTAGTTGAGGCTATATAGTTCATTGCATTTGGTTTCCTACAATTGTGGTATTATTCATATTGGAAGGTTTCTATTTATACTATATTACTAAAGGATGTAGAAGAAGTGTACGTAGGTTGGTTTTTGTTTAATCAATTTTGTTGTGTTGGAATCTGTATTTGCAAATATTACTAGTAATAACTTTCTTATATACACAATAATCATAATAATTTTTCTTCAATCCTTTTGCTATATACACAAGGAAAATGAGTGGGGAAGGAAAAAAAAAACAAGTGCTTGTATTTGCTATATTTTAGGGAATATGAAATAGGAATAGGAATAAAAATAGGAAGGTTTCTATTTTTTCCATGTTAGTTTAGTTAAATTATACTTTATGAGAGTTGTCTAATTGTTAGACTAACCAAGTTATATACTATATTTAGATATTTGCCAGCCTCCATATCTTTGCAAGTTTGTTTGTTTCTAGGAAACTTCTCATTTTAATGACCATTATACGTCATGGTAGTTTCTTTATTGGGATGGTCCTCCCTACGATGCCTTGCATGGGATGATCTCATGCTCTTGAAGTTTGACAACAAGTTTAATCATACTATCCATATTTGATGTACTTTGATGTCATGCTCTAGGAGCACTTAGATGTGATCAGGAGGGAGTTGGCAGAGTTCATACTCTCGCACATATACTTTTCGTAGTATATGTGCTATCTTGTTTTTTGGCTTCCCCGTTCATGTAACTCAGTGTCGTTTTGTTGGCCGCCGCATGTTGGAGATTGAAAATTTTTGTTCAGTGAAGGGTTCCATCAAATACTTTTGGGCAATACCATCGGCATGAACCACATATACTGTAACGGTATATTGAGGTATGGTTCTCGGTCACTGTTAACGCCTCATGTTATTGACTATATTCTTGAGCTGAAACATATCGTATGATCTTGAGA